TTAAAAGTAAGATTTATTTCTTTATTAATATTGGGAAAAAAATATACTTTTAATATTTAAATTTATACAAGGTTTCAGTTTTATTCCTTTAATTTTAAAAATTATATTTAATTCTTTAATTTTAAATTTAAACACAAAAATGATAATATTAAATTTAAATATTGATAAAATATTTTCCAATACTAACATATTAAATTTAATTTTTAAAACAACTATAATTATTGCAAAAAATATTATTTAATATTAATAATTTTAAAATTAAAAGACTAAAAGATTTTTTTAAAATTAAATACATCACCTAAACCTTTCATTGTCATGGTAATTTTTGGTGGCTTCGGTTGAGAGCATATTCTTGTCGTTCCTTTCTTTACACGCCTCTGTCTCTCAAGTCTGTGAGTGTTCAGCCACCTCAGTCCAGAGCATCTCACCGAAGATCCTTTCGCTTTTTTTTCACTTTCAGAAACTATATATAAAGCCACCTCAAGCCAAGCAGACCCCATGATGCGGTAGATCTTCTTCGACCCTCCTGATTCTCTGAATCGTCCTTCAATATTTGTCTCTTTCTCCTTTTCCCCCTGTTTGCGCTTTTTAGCAACCAAAACATGAAGTTGGAGAACTCAAACGGAGAGATCTTCGCCGAAAACAATGCCTCTGAATCCCTTGTCAGCTTCGCCAATGGTCTTCAATCGCCAAATTCTGCTACGGCCAATGGGGCCGATGTCGATAAAGATGGGGAGGAGATATTCGTGCCTCCTCTGAACTTCGCCATGGTCGATAATGGCATTTTCAGGGCGGGGTTCCCTGATTCTGCCAATTTCGGATTCTTGAAATCTCTTCGCCTCCGCTCGGTTATGTGAGTTCCATTTCTGTTTTCATTTTGCTTTGTAACCGAAATTGCTGTCGTTCTTCATTTTGTTTTTCGGGTTTTTGGTTTTGATTCGGTTCGGATTTTGCTCAGATGTTTGTGCCCTGAACCGTATCCAGAAGCGACTTCCGAATTTTTGAAGGCTAATGGAATAAGGCTCTATCAATTTGGGATCGATGCCTTCAAGGTCTTGAATTGTTTCTGGTTTTAATTACCACCGCTGACCTTTTACCCCCAATTATGTTGTCTGTTTGTTAGTAATTAAGAGAATTGGTTGCTTCCATTATGTTTGCTTGATGCTTCTGAAATCATCCGACTCTGTTAACAATAGTGTAGGAATGCATCCAGGTGCTTTGCTGATAATTTGCTATTTCCCATGCATAAGTGCTATGACATTTTAAATGTGAGGTTGATTCATTTGGATACTACCAATCAGTCTAATTGATGAGAACATTAAATGTAACAAGGGGGGAAATTATTAGATTAGTACAGCTTAATTTGGGCATTAAGAGTCATATGTCTATGTCCAACTACTCATCATTCATTCATGCGAAAGTTAGATATATCAATGACAACGAACTAAATGACAGTAGTTCTCTCTTAAAATCCAGCGTTTAGCTTAAAGATTGTTGATTATTTACTTAGTTATATTAGTCACCAGGTGCCAATGTGGAAACAAACGAAGAAGACAACCTTGTAAAATTATATCATATTAAATGATTCTGCAATAAGAAAGTTGCTAGGAGCCAAGGACACCTTCCATTATTTAATCCAAATCAAGAAAACAAAAATTCTATGTTTGACATTATAATAGTTTTGTTGCTCCGCCAAACTATAATATTTAGGTGATGGTGTTTTATTTTGTTTTTTTACATGTCTGTCTAGTTGTGCACATAGCAATTGCTTTCCCTTCAAAATGTAGTAATCACAATTTTATCAAAGTAACAAATATTGCCAAGTAATTAGCATTCTGATTTCTAATTAATCTCTGTATCTTGTGTTTTGTTTTAATTAATCACCATATTAAGTGGATTTGATCTGTCTTTGTAACATGTGAATTTTTTTGTGCACACTGAATGTTTTTCTTTGCAAATGTCGCCATTAAAATCAAGATAATTAATATCGTGAAATTGCTAGTGCCTGTTGTGAAGTTGATCTCAGTACTTCTTTTTTTTTTTTTCGAATGAAAAATTTATAGGCATCGTCATTGTGATTGTGTTCAACTATTTGAGTGAAAAATACTCATCTCTCTCATTGCTCAAATTATTATGATGCTTTCAGATGTTTCTAAAAGAATGCGTCTTATATCATATATTGGAACAGATAAATAAACTTAAGCAAAATACTTCTCCTATATCAAAGGACTATATTGGTTGTAAGAGGCGTAAATTAACGTGTCCAGTCATTTTTTTTTCTGGTCCAATTTTTCTTACTTTTACCATGAATGTGTTTCTTAGTTCACTTTTGTTGGTTCCTTGATCATTTCGTGCCTTTAGAAGAAACAAGGTAATACGACCATCTTTATTACAGTGATGGGCTAACACAATAAAGATAGGGAAGAGAGAGAATGGAGGGTTATTTGTTACATTACATGGACCCTATATTCAGTAACTGTGGCAGACTTTTGTGGTTGGCTATGATTATGGAGTACCCATCTATTTCCAGCACCAGGCCATCCTTTTGTGAATTTACTTCTCTGTATTAGATTGTTGAAATTAGACTTTTGTGGTTCTCTGGTAACTGATATTTTCTATTCTGATGTCCTTCAGTATAGCTCTGGAAGTACTTTTTGACCTGCATTCTGTCCTTCCTTATCATTTTCATATTCTCCAACATGTGAATTCTTTTATTCCAACTTCATTTTTATTGAAGAGCTTAACTTGAACTTGTATACCATTGCCACATACGGTGAAAGGGTTTGCTGGTTGATTGATCACGCATTGTGGCCAGATTTATGTTCGTTAATTGAAAAGGAACCATGCTGGTGCTTGTTACTTTCAAACAGGGTGATTATTTGACCAAGTAGATCAGCCGCCATACCATGCAAGTCTAGGAGAATGAGATGAGTAACTTATGTATGAGCTATTTTCAAAGCAGTCGACCTTGGCTTACAGAATTATATTATTCTAAATGGTCATCAATGGTAGTTATCTTCTTTCCAGCTTCCCTTGCTTGGTCCATCCAGTTTCTCATAATTTTCTTTACCCGAGATCAAATCCTGTGTCAGGAATTACAATTCCTGTATTGGACTTGCATTCTCCCTCACTCTTGTTCTCCTCACAATCTTCTGTCAAATGGTATAGAACGTTTATGCCCACCCTGGGGATCCTTCAGCTGTATTTATCTCATGTAATGTATCCTCTTTTAGATATTTCCTTTTTTGATGGCATCTTCTTGGCAGCAAATGCCAGGAAAAGGGGAAAAGTTGACTAACCTGGGAGTATATTGCTGTATAACTTCCTAAGAATTATGCTTTTTTCTTTTGAAAAAAAAAAAAAAAATCTATTACTGAGCTGTAATTGATACCAGAAAGCTCACGTGACTTGATGGACTGATATGTAAGAAAACACATGTATCCTTCACTTTGTTAACATTTTTTGTGGGCAGGAACCTTTTGTTAACATCCCAGAGCATACGGTGCGTGAAGCGTTGCAAGTAGTACTTGGTATAACTTCACTTAAACTTCATTATTATATCCTCTGTAAAGTAGGAAAGCTTGTTCAGATATTTATTTACTTTAATCATGTCTGTAAATCTCGCTCCAGATGTTAGGAACCACCCGGTGCTGATTCATTGCAAACGAGGAAAGGTAAGCTATGGATCTTTTCTTTTACACTTCTCTTATTTGACCTAGATTAATCATTAATGTTCTCTGCTTTTACCACGAGCAGCATCGCACTGGATGCATAGTGGGATGCTTAAGGAGATTGCAGAGATGGTGTCTATCATCTGTATTTGATGAGTACCAAAGGTTCGCTGCTGCCAAAGCTAGAGTGTCTGATCAGAGGTTTATAGAATTGTTTGACATCTCTAGCTTGAAGAACAATCCAATGTCTTTCTCATGCTCAAAGAAGTAGAAACATTGGCCTATTTGAGAAAGCTATGGCTTCCTCCATGGAAACTTTCCGTGATGAAGAGAAGACTGAAAGTTGCCTTTTTCTCTGTCTTTTTACTATTATCTTGGTGAATTTGAGAGTAGATTTTAAGTTGCAATGTTATGTTCTGTTTCTTATGCTTCGCTGTTACTTTGGTCGTACGTGTGGTATCCTCAATGTGGCATTTTTGTGCCAAGATGAACCGAGTGATTTGATGATGATTTTACAACTTCCAATTTATATCAGCTTAGATTTAGCTTTTGTGACTTCAATTTTTGCACGTCATCTTCACCACCCAACTCAGCGCTTGCTTTATACCCTGCTGGCCAGGCTCTCTTTTTCCCTTTCTATATTCACGATACATATTACAAAAAATACACTATAAGCATAAGTGTTTCCACATTTGGTGTGTAGGTTTTCAATTGAGGAAATGTATGAATTGTTGCAACTAATTCAGTGTTTTGTAACACAATTTGTGTCAAACTCATAAAGATGTCATTTGGATCACATAAAATGACTAGATATCAGATCGTCTTTTTTAGCTTAAAGTTCAAATATAATTATATTACATTGTGCAAGTCTATTTTATGTTATATTGAAGGAAGTATGACTAAAATAAAGTTGATTCCATCATGAATATCAATATAATGCGTACCCCAAACTTCATCTTCATAAGAATAATGTGGCTCATAAATTAAAACGAATCTATCTGTTTCTCCTTTCTTGCTTTGGCTTCTTGGTTTTTGTGGATGAGCCAATTTGAATATCTTAGTATCATCTTTCGATGGATGAGACATGATTGGTGTACATCCTATCTTCCATGTGTATCATTTTGATTATTGTTGAGGTTTCCTTCTTCTTTTTGAAATAAGCTATTTTGCTCCTCTTGTCCTTCAGTAGAAATCCTCTGAGATAGTTTTTCCCTAAAATTCTGGTTTAGTTGTCATTTTCTTGGAATTGTATCTATCTTCAAGAGCACCCAAAATTCTTTGGCACTATTGCAATGCATCGCCCTTGCCAAGCTCTCATCTTTAAAAATAAAGATGCCAAATAGTGATTATTTGAAAATTTTGTTATAAAATTTTGCTAGCATCAAAGCATCGTATCTAATAATTGCTAGTCTAGTTGAAATATTATTGCAAATAAAATGATACATTGTATGCTTGTGTATGTTATGTGATGTGGCGTCTATATAATAGATAATGCTTAATTATGGCAAATAATTATTTAAAGCAAAAAGAATAAAAATAAAGATGCCAAATAGTGATTATTTGAAAAAATTGTTATAAAATTTTGGTTATCCACACTATAATGAATAATTTCATTAAGAGAAACATTATATATTAACAATACTACCAATAATAAAGAATATCAAATGTTCAAATTAAATAGTAATTCGTGCCTTTAGTATAAAATCTAGTTTGTAGTTCAAATTAAATTACAAACAACTATCTTTGGTCTTTAATATAAGAACTAGTTGACTAATTTGAGTAGATTAAGAAAATTGATTTATTTATTTGTAATAAATAGGTGTTGTTTTTTCTAAAATATCCTTACTAATTATGTGTATTAGCTAAAATTACCATTTGATAAAATCTTTAGCATGTACAACTACTACAAGGGCTATTTTGGAAAAAAAAGAATAAATATGAGAGATAAAGTGGATTGACATCTTATATTTATACCAAATTAAATATCAAACTAGTTTTTATATTAAAGACCAGATATAGTATATCTTATATTGAAGACTAGGTGTAGTATTTTAAAATTCAATACTCAAACTAGGTAACATTCTCCAAAACTTTTTGCGTAGTTTTCTTTAAGAGATTTACCGATTCAATTTAACCGAATCAGTTTGTTTGAAATGGCTCCCCCAACCCACAAAAATTCTTCAAAGTGAAATTCTTAAAATACCTTTGAGAAAAAAATAAAGAAGGCTTGGGTTTTCCAAATTAAAAGTCCATTTTTGCTCTCTCTCCCCCGTCTATATATATATGTGTGTTAAGAATAAAGCTATTCAGCCCAATATGTAAAGACTACACAAGACATCTCTGAGAAGTCGAATCCTAGCCATTAGAAAATAGGAGTAAGATTTGACGAGTTTGATAGAGTTGGATGGCTTGCCCATTGCCGTTTTGCTTTAATTGCAATACTCTCATTTTAGCATAAACAATAGCTGATAATATAAAATAAAAAAAAATAGAGACAATGGCCAACTCTCGTGCCCTTGTTCTCTCTGGAAGATCATCAATGTTGGTTCCTTCTTCTCAAGAGAAGGGTGACCTCTTAGCTTAGAGTTCAAAGAAGATTAAGAATATGATTAGAAAAAAAAAAGAGACAATCTTCTCTAAGGCAACTGACCGAAGTTGGGATCAAAGAGAAATGAATACAATGTTGGAGGTCTTTCTTTTGCAGACAAGTTGAAAGGTCTTGACAAGCAAAAGAACTAGTCAGATGAAGACATTAAAGATGCTGAAGACTTTGTCTTTGATGATAACATGTCTGATACGTCCCAAAATGCAACCAAACAAGAAAATAATGAACCTTTGTGGAAGACAAATGAAGACCTAAATAGGAATTTTCCAACATTTACCTTCTTTGGGAGGTTAAGAAGGAGATTGCATAAAGCATGGAAGAGAGCTCTGATTGTGAAGCTCTTGGACATAAGCATAGGGTACAAAGCTTTGTTAAGACGTTTGCAAACCTTGTGGGCTAAGAAACATGTCATCAACCTCATTAACATCGGTTATAGTTTTATGTGATGAAACTTTCAAATAGAGATGATTACTTTAATGTTCTTACAGGTGGTCCTTAGATGATATATGACTATTACCTCACTATGCAACCTTAGGAGCCTAATTTTCAACCAAAAAGAGCAACCACATTGCTTGGGTTAGATTGCCTTAGGTTACTTTAATATTTTATGATGTTAAGGCATTAAGCATCATTAGAAATTGGATAGGAGATACTATCAACATTGATATGAATATATCATGTCAACTAAGAAGATATTATGCACGTATCTGTGTGCTTGTGGATCTAAATGAGCAATTAATACCTAGATTTTGCTTGGATAGGGAAGAGTATTATCTTAAATATGAGGGGCTCCATATGCTTTGCACCAGTTGTAAAATATACGGGACAGAGTTGAAATTTGTTTGAAAAAGGCTCTTGTTGCATAATCAAAGGTGAATAAGATAGAGGTAGTGAATGGTATGGTAATCACAAAAGAGAAACACTTATTGAAAATACTAGAATGTAGGATCAAGGGAGAATAGTACATAAGTCTCACTGACAACAGAAAATAAAGGAGGATAAGGGAGATTTAGGTGTGTTGGAAAATAGAGGATTATGATTTGGGGTCTTAACTGACGTGAAAGATCAAGCGACCAATGAAAATAAGGAAGTTGGAGATGTCAAAGTTGTACATGAGGTTCCTCAGCACCAATACTCCATGCAACACACTCACTCTAAATGTTAGACAAACTAGAAGAAAAAAGGTGGAGCAAAGGGGGAAAAAAAAGAGAATACAAAAGTGATTGATCGTATACTGCCTGGTGAACAATTGGTTTATCCCAAGAGTACAATAAAGAAGAAAAGGAGTGAGAAGAGACCACATGAGATGGTGAGGCATGATCTTCACAATGGAGAAATCTTGATACCAACATGGGAAAAGAGAAAAACTGAGAATAACAAGGTGATGAATATGTGTGAGATTAATAATCAATATGAGAGAAATAGACGTGAATGATCAGGACCAACCTCTTCAAGAGTTAGATAGAAAGAAGGAAATAACTATAAATAGATTGGTCTCAAGAGAACCAAATCCTGAACGTGAATTTAATAGCCTTATCGATATTGAGTTCACTCACAATGGAAATAGTGATAACACAGTGATTCTTGAAACCCAATTCTCAAATGGATATTGATTGGACTTAGGCCTCTTTTATTTTCATTTTTATGGATAATATATTATATTAGAATACTAAGGGAGCTTGTGCTAATGGGCTCCTTAGAAATTTGAAATTAGTGTGTATTGGGCCAAGATCCTCTCTTTATTCTAGCAAAAATAAGATGTAAGAGGACCGATCATTTTTGCTCTCTTTGCTTCTTGGGGTTCAATACTGGGAGCAAAAATAAAGTGGACTATCAGGAATGGACTATCCATCAAATTCTTTAATAATTATTAGTTATTTTCACATAAGAAATTAAAGGATCTTTGTCTTAGACCTTTATCTATGGAAGAAGAACATAGCAAAGTGGCTGTCTAGCTAGTCTAATCTAAAGCGATGTGTTTTAATGCTTGATTACTATTTTACCTCCTTTGGTTGTGGCTAGAAATGTCGTGCTATCTTGAAATGGAATAGTTCATGAGTCCTTTACATTGAAATTAGCTTATTACATGTTGGAAAATAACCTAGCTAATAATTATAGTTCTATCTATAACGATATTTAGAAATGGAAAGGTGTTGAAAGGGTTAGAATATTTAGATACATTTAATAATATATTGCCTACTATTAGTTGGAGAAGCAAATGGTCTATAGCTGTTCCTATTTGCTTTGATTCCAATGTGGGTATTAATGATGTGTTGCATATTTTAAGAGACCATATATACATTAAGAATCTGTGGTTTCAATTTGTACACCCTAGGCACTACTCATATTTCTTTGCTACACATAAAATATTGATTTACTTTAAACCTTAGAAGAGATATGAATAAGGAATCTAAGGGCAATTGGGGTTTACTATGGGGAATAACAGTTTGGAAACTTTGGAGAGGGAGGAATCAATCTATTTTTTATGCTGATTTTAAAACTACAAACCCTGCTTTAAATATATGGCACTCATGGAGAAAATTTGTTAAGGTATATTAAAAGAATTCACAAATTTGATTGATCATAATATATATACATATATAAAATCACAATTAGGCCGTGGACTATCAAAGTCTAGAATTCATCATTCAACTATAAACCCAATTAAGCACAACCCTTTCCTAAATAATATACTTGTTGAAACCTTTTCAAATAAAACAGTGAAGCTCTACCATTTAAAAGTCAATAATTAAGTATGAAAATGTATCATAGGTAATAATCTAAAGGCCTTAGGCTTTTTATCAATACTCCATTCAAAAATGGTTAATTAAAAATATTTAATTACAAATTAGAGAGAAAAAAGTTATAGGTGGCAATGTACAACAAATATGCATATAAACAAAAAAAGTGGGCTATCCAAGATAACCCTATTATAATATAGGGTTCTTGAGCTTTC